TTTTTTTTTTTTTTTTTTTTTTCCTGGAGCTAATTTCCTGAAGCCAAGTTTCCCCACCTTTAGAGTAGAGTGCTTCCACTCTTCTAGGCCACAGCTGGAAGAAGGAAATACTGGTGGGCAGGAGGCCCTGGGGGCAGGAGTACCTCTCTGATGTGGAGGATGGTGCCGTTGGGTGGGCGCACAAAGACAGGGCGGTTGTCATTGACGTCGATGACCTCCACCAGGAGCATGGTGGTGCCCCAGAGTGGGGGCTCTCCGCCATCTGTGGCCACCACGGTCAGATTGAACCTCTCGTAGGACTGCAGTGGCCGCTGTGTGGTCACCAGGCCCGAGTCCATGTCCACATGGAAGGCCTCTGGCAGTGGGGGCAAGGAGAGTAGCTCTGGTTGAGACATCCTTCCCACCCTTCCCTCTACTCCTGGCCTGGGGTGGCAGGCCTGCCCCTCCCATCCCCCAAGGCATCACGGGTGTCCAAGGAAGGCCACATACCCACGCCAGGGCCCTCGAGTGAGTAGGTCAACTCTCCATTGGGACCTTCATCCTGGTCAGTGGCCATCATGGTGATGACCGAGGTGCCCGCTGGCTCATTCTCATACACACTTGTGCTGAACTGGGGCTTGGAGAACTGTGGCCGGCAGTCATTGACATCCAGCACTTGGATCACCACCTGAGTGGAGGGAGGTCAAAGCTAAAGGTGAGGAGCAGGATGGGGCTGCCACAGGGGACCTGGTCATGCAGGAGTAAGCCCAGATAGAGGAAGGACAGGCACCAGCCTGGGAGGGAGGTAATGTCTTCTAATGTGTTGGAGTCTGATTTGAAGCAACTTATTTAACCCCCTGAGCCTCAGTTTCTTTGGCTGCACAATCCTAGATCCTTGGCACAGTGCCTAGCTCAATAAACACTCAACAACTAGAACAGTGGTTAACAGGTAATCTGCACCTGGGCCCTGAAGCAGAAACCCCTTATCCCCTCACACCTCCTACTTTTGTTCCTTGCTACTCCCCACAGTGGCCCTATAAATCTGGCTCTAATCTCTGTCCCTTAGTGCTGGTTTGGTGGCATTCCTCCACTCCCCAAGGCTTCTCTTGACTGGGATTTGTGTCTGGTCTGAGACTTGGCTTCCCTAGCTGACCTCCCAGTCTAGGGCAGGTCTTATGGACACAGCAAACCATGGGGCCTTTGTTCCCTGGTTGCTGGGACCTGCCTGAACTGCATCCTTATCAGAGCCCTTCATAGCAGTGACTTCATTTTTTTTTTTTTTTTCGATGGAGTTTTGCTCTTGTCACCCAGGCTGGAGCACAATGGTGCGATCTCAG